TACTACTAGTAATTGCTGAATTTCATTGAGATCATAGTGTTTCCTAAACATCTTCCTAGCAAGAGTGGCAAATTGCATGGTTATATAATAAAAATATTTTCAAGAAAATGACACCAGACTGGGTTCACTTCAATGGTCACCCTTTTCCCTTAACTGACGTGTGTGTTAAGAATCTTACTCGACTTTTAAAACTTTAAAATAATTCACTTTTGCTGGCTTCTTTGACACTACCCTCATATTACACAATTTGAAATGTAACCACAACAAAACTATAAACTGAACATTGAATGACTTGACACCTCATGACCAGAAAAATACTCAAAAAGTAAAAAAAAAAAAGTAGTTTTCTGACACACTTTTCGATTACCAGTGCATATTTGACGTTTATTTACCTATAGGGTGTTATTGCAATAACACCATGCATTTGCATAAAATATGTCATGTACATGTATGCCCAAACCCAAATAATGATGCTCATTAATTATCATGATCCTCTCCACACATTCTCAAAGACATGAAAGGGGTGCTTGCACCAAGCCCCACGTTACTTTTAATAAACTGCCAGATTGTCCTCCTAATTTGCCTTGTGCGTGCTTGAGATCAAAGGGATAATTTGACATCAGGTCAGGTTTTATTTAGGGCCATATTCCATGCACACCTTCCTTTATCTATTCTGGATATTTCGTCTTGCCCCATGCTAGAGAACAAGAGAACACAAAGTTTTCTCTGCAAATGCTTGTAGAATTTTATGTTACTTTACAAAGAACTAGACCGGAAAATCTCTTTAGCCTGTTACTTTGTAGGTTTTTCAAAACGTGACGGACCCTTCATTAATACTTCTGTTGGGGGAGGTTCTTTCATGCCAAGTGTCGGGGGCTATCTGCTTTGGATTAAAGGCGTTGTCGTCCGTGCGCTGAGTGAAGCTTCCCTCGAACTGGGATCTTTCTTTTAGCATTCTTGCTATCAAGAAGGGAAAGTAATTGTACTCTTTATCCTGTTTGACAGGTTCTGCATGATATTTTTTAGTTCTCTTGCTGTACTTTCGGTGCCCACACTCGGTTCCATCTGCCTTTGTTTTACTCCCTCTAAACAAATGCATGTTGTGATCAATAGCAGCTAACATTATTCTCATGATGAAAAATGGATACCTAAAACAAGTAAAAATCAAAACAATAATTGTAAATTTTTCCCCAAAAAAAGCAAAAAAAGAGAATGGCACCCCAATTAACGATGTAAAGTTTGTGGACATTGACTGAAATATTGCCACTAAAATGTACATAACTGATTTGCAGTGTAAGCAAGTGGCTGCCAAAAAATAGATACATTTTGTAGCTGTACATGTATGTTCCTGTTGCATATCTCATAATGTATGGATGATAAACAATATCACACAGCAGACGTGGGAATATCAGCATAGTGTACACCATTATTTTGAAGCTACCTATAGTAAACAGTTGCTTCAAAGTTTTCCTTTATATGTTTTCAGAAAGTATCCATCACTGCATACCCTACAATATACTTGACATAATAATACTTACTCAAATGATGACCTCTTTGGGGCATACTTTGTCAGCATGCTGTTAAAGCTCTCAAGAACACTTGTGTGTCTGTGGCATAAGGGAGTTATTAAATGTGTATGTTAGAGGAAGTCCTGCATAGTTACCGGTAATTCACTTCCATGAGAGAGACAAGTTACAATGTTTATCAGAACTTAGAATTAATATTTAGACTTTTCCCATTAATGCTTAATGAAGGAATTCTCATCCTCACTGTGGAAGACATTTTAAGTTTTTGAGCTAGACCTAAGATATGTTTGGTTTTGAAAACCTCTCCTGTAAACAAGTAGACTGAACTGACTAAAGATGGCCTGCTTACGGGGCATGAAATGGTATCTTCCTCAAGATATACTTTGCAAGTTGTACTTAACAAAGGGCTGCAAGATTCCATCTTTGTCTCACCTGAACCTAACATAGAAAGCAATGTGGGGCAGCCACTTCTTGTCTAGCA